GATAACAAATTGCGGGATGCGAGGCGAAGTGCGGTCTTGCGTACTGCTGAAGTCGCAAGTCGCAAGTTGCAAGTCGCAAGTTGCAAGTCGCAAGTCGCAAGGAACACGCATAATTTCTATTATAATATTCTATATACGCGAATACGTACGTGTGCATACTCAGTTTGTAGAGCGGATCTCAAAATGGGAGAAGTATTGAACCGTTACTACTACAGCAAACAAGTGCGCGAACGTGTTTGCCACCTCTATTTCGACGAGGGTTACACGCAAGCGCAAATAGCTGAGGCTTTCGGGCACAGACCTTGCGAGAGGACTGTGCATGCTATCATACAGTCCTACGTGGCGAATGGCGATGTCCTGCCGCTTAGAGGACAAACAGGAACACGCAAACTACGCAAGTTTGATGAGATCGCTGCACAGACGCTGGTGGAGCTGGTGCAGGCCGACGACCAAGCAATGCTCTCCGATCTGGCCACCGCTATGACAAACTTACTGGGCACTCTTTGGAGCGTCCCTGATATTAGCCGTGCATTGTCTGAGCTGGGTTACGTCCGCAAGAAGGTTTTTACCAGGGCATTCGAGGCACGGGAATCAGTTCAGCTGGCATATCGCGAGCTTGTGTGACAATATGTTCAAATGGCCCAGAAGCCTCCCACTCTGTAACAATTCAATTCAACTTCGTGAGCTTGTGTGTGTGTATGTATGTGTGTGCGTGTGCGTGTGTTGCAAGTATTTGACCGTGCCTGAAACTGGCCAGGGACTGCTGCCCAGCCCCAACAGAAAGACCACCTAAACTCCTCCCGCAGACAGGAGAGGGGTGTAAGGGGCCTCTGTCCCTCCTAAGCAGCTGAGAGCCACGGGTCCACTAGTTCCGCTCTCCTCCCCCGGGGGTCAAGGCTCCGTCACGCGAGTTTGAGCACTGAGCCTGAAACACACAAGAAGACTGGCTCTTGGGGTGAGGATTCAAGAAGACCGAGGAAACCCGGAAACCCTGTACAGACTCTACCCCTCCCTATTAAGGCACCAGGCCCTAATAGAAAGCTCGGTCTCTCACCCGATTCTCCGTTGCTTGCCCGCAAGGGGCATGGGGGAGTGGGCAGGGTTCATTGTTCGTGCTGAAATCCATAATGACCACCTGAAATCGCCATGCCCCAATGTTTGCATCAAATGCTTATATGTTTCCGGTTAGGCTGTTGGGAGTTAGAGATTAACCAACCTAACGGCCATGAGTGCACAGCATGCACCTGCAGGCTTTGTGACTGCGGGGCGGTTGAAGACGAAATGCATGTCTTTGTGGAATGCCTGGCGTACATTAGTACACGGGCGAACGTGACCTCATGTTTCAAGGGTGCAACATGCGCACGATTATGACCGAGGCCCCACCCCTGGCACTAGCCAGGTTCCTCTCGGAAGTCTGGGAGACCCGGCGTGTTGCTCTAAGGCGCTCCGTGCTCAAGCGGACGAGGGTGGATGATGATGGTCCACCATGCAACCGCCCTAAAAACAATTTACCGCCCATGGGCCCCCCAGCTCTTACGGACACCCCCACACTTGTGTGGAACTTGTGCGGACTAGGCTAGTTCCTATCAGTCCACCGCCGGGGCTAGGGATGCCTCGAGGCAGTGTGGTTGTTACAGTGGGCTCCAGACTCACAAAGAGTACAGCCAGCGGGCCAGCAGGCCGTGCACTGCACCTGATACGATTAGGGCAAACAAGACTCCAACCCAGACCAGACAACGCAAGTCACCTAAATAATCCAAAACCAAATCCAAGGGCAGGCTCAGAACCCGCAACCACAGCAATTAGACTCCCCAATTGGCGAAAGTCCTCGGAACCCCACCAGAAGGCCCATAAGCAAATACTGTTAAGAACTTGATGAGATACAATAAGCAAATACTGATAAGAACTAGATGAGGCCTGAGTGAGCTTGTGCGTATGAACAGCTACATTGCATTGCTCAGACAGCTACATTGCGTTGCTCAGACAGCTACATTGCACTGCTCAGACAGACGAAGCCACATAGGCCGCAAGCCACTTCAGCATAGTTGCGCCTGCGATCGGCCATAGCCCGCAGACGCGGACGCCGCAAATGCTATCTGTTTACACCCTACAGGCGTGGTTCACGTACGTATTCGCGTATATAGTATATCATAATAGAAATTTTGCGTGTTCCTTGCGACTTGCGAGTTGCGAGTTGCGAGTTGCGACTTGCAACTTTAGCAGTACCCGCAATTTGTTATGCAAGCAGTCGCCTCGCATCCGCAATTTGTTATGCAACCAGCCATAAAACTTGAAATTTCCTCCATCCATGGAGGAAGCAGCAATTTGGACTAAGGAGCCTCCTGTCCGTTGTGACGAGCTGCGGGAGTCAACGGCTTACATAATATCTCACATCACAAACTACAGAAAGACTTTCTAGATGATTTCAAACAAACAGATTATGCTGAATGATCTTCTATCTTACTTCTTGTGTGTAAGCTGGAATACACTGGTTTAGTCCTCCCAAGCCCCGCGGCTGTAACGCTTGCACGGTGCTGACCACCGGTCTGCGCGATGTGGACCTTTGTGAGCGCTGGGAGCAGCGGTGGCGATCCGCTCTTGCGCTCGTTAAACAATAATAAGGGCCGGCAAACTTGGGAGTTCAATGAGAAGGCAGGCACGCCAGAGCTGCGCGCGGAGGTGGAGCGCCTTCGAGCAGATTTTACCGCCAACAAAGATAAACAACATCATTCAGCGGATGAGCTTTTAAGACTGCAGTCCGCGGATCGCATCCGCGCCAAGAAGCATGCCCCGCCATCTGGCGAGGTACCGGAGCAGCTCACACCGGAACGCGTGGAGGCGCATCTTAACGGCGCTATCAGCTTTTACGAATGCTTACAACAAGATGATGGTCACTGGCCCGGTGATTATGGTGGACCGATGTTCCTGCTCCCTGGCCTGGTCATCGGTCTATACACCACGGGCGCGCTGGACCAGGTGAGCCCAATGTCAGGTCCCCTAAGATTGAGAGGTGCTTGACCAATACGCATCAGCGCGTGCA